CCTCCCTCCCTCCCTCCAAAACAAATATTAAAAATAAATGAATGGGAAGATTAAGCCTTAGCTGAGACCTCTTTGGTCCATATACATTAAAGGAAGCCACCCAACCAGAATGCCACAGGCTAAACCCTATAGATTTTATACCGGGGGAAAAATTACATTGCTGATCTCATGCTAATTTAGACTTAAGGGAGCTCTATAAGAGGCCAGTAAGTATTGACTGCCTACAAATGCAAGGACTGCAGCTTAAGATGATGCGAGTATAGTGTAGGCACGGTAATCCTCTATGTATAGAGCTCACAGTTTAACAAAAATAAAATAAAAGAACTCACAGTTAAAGAGAAATGACTTTTGTAATGGAAAAAAACAAGAAACAACCTAAAAATTCAACAACTAGAGGAATGGATAAAAACAGTCTGTGGTACATAAAATATTATGCAGACATTAAAATTTAAGAATTTTTAATGATGTGAGGAAATGCTTTGCTGTATATCAAAAGAAGTGATATGTATTGGCCATATGAAAGAAAAATAGACAAATCTTGAAAGATTAAATCCATTTCACACTCTCTACTAGATTAGTAATGATTGAAAAGTTGTACAAGAAGAACAGTTAAGAATTCACATTCACTCTTGTAGAGGTATAAATTGGTGCAACCACTTTGGAAAACTTCCTAGTAGAGTTGAACAAGTGCTAAAACCCAGAAATTCTAGGTGTATATGCTAGAGAACAGGTTTCTCAGCATGTGGTCCAGGGACACCCAACAGTCTTCAAGACCTGGTTTTGGGAGGCCTAGAGTCAAAACTGTTCTCATAGTGACACTAAAATGTTATTTGATACAGAAGCAGATGTGGGAATCCAACTATCTTCTGTTAAGCCAGACTTATCAGTAAATATTTTTGTTTCAGAAATAGGGTTGGTGTTTTTGTTTTTTTTTTATAAAAGTGTTATAAATGTTTACATGTAATGAATTTGTTATATTTTAGATAATTTTTAAATGCCTGGGTTTTAGTTTCTAACACAGTGAACATTGACAAATAATGGCTGACATAAACAGGAGCTCTTCAGGTTCCTCAGTCATTTTCAACAGTGTAAAGGGAGTGGGGGTCCTGAGAGCATAAAGTTTGAGAACTGCTGCCCTTGAGAAGCAAGGCTACATGTGCAGATACATAATGTTCAGAGGAGAATTGTTCATAATCGCAAAAGCCTGAGAGCAACCCAGGTGTCTCTTGACAGTAGAAGGAATAAACTGGGTGGGATGTTAATTTGGTAGAATAGTAACCAGCGTCACTGTGGATGAAAAAGCAAAGAGTATCCTATATTTTTTTTTTTAATTTTTTTTAACATTTATTTTTGAGACAGAGAGAGACAGAGCATGAATGGGGGGAGGGCCAGAGAGAGAAGGAGACACAGAATCTGAAGCAGGCTCCAGGCTGTGAGCTGTCAGCACAGAGCCTGATGCGGGGCTCGAACTCACGGACCATGAGATCGTGACCTGAGCGAAGTCGGACGCTCAACCGACTGAGCCACCCAGGCGCCCCCCTATATTTTTTATGAAGTTTCAAAACAAGCAGAACTGAATAATATGCTGTTAAAGGATACATGTGTAAGCAGTAAAACCAAAGAGGCAAAGGAGTGACTTGATACATTTCAGCATACACAATTAGATGTTAGAAGGAAATACACCAAAAACTTAACTTTGATAATATCTGGATGGGAGAATTATAAGTGATTTCCATTTTCTTTTTTATATACTAGAGTGAAAATATTTTCTTTTATGAACAGGGGAAAAATGTATTAAATGTATTGAACTTTAACATATCAGAGTGATAGTAGCTCTACCTTAAATGTTGTAAACTCTTCTAAAGTGCAGCCTAAGTAGGAAACTTCCCCAAAACAGTAGAGTTTTAGTGAGTAATGATGGAGTTGGTATTTTAGTTATGCTTATGATGACTGTTCTAAATTTCACTTTACACATAGGTATAATAAAAGCCATACTTTCTTCTTTGCCTTACATTATTGGTTATGTTTGGACTAGTGCTTAATAGAGTAATGGAACATAGCCAAACTGTGTCTATCCTTTGAAATTTACTTTGTCAAAGTAGAACTGAAAAGTCTTTAATCGTAAACATTATGTTCTTCATAATTTTTTTTTAAGTTCAGGAATAACTAACTTTCATAGAGTGCTTACCTTGTGCCAGGTATTGTTCTAATAACTTTACATGGATTAGCTCGTTAAATCCTCGTAAGATTTTATAAGGTTTATTATTTTCTATTTTACAAGTTAGGAAAGTAGCATAGAGAAACGAAGCAAGTGACCCGTGGTTCCTTCCGGCAAGAATCAGTCCAGTCTCTCCAGACCTAAATCCCTAGGCCTTAGGCACGCCAGCACTTGTGCCGCTTGGTTCCTTTACTAGTAGTTGCATAACCGTTTGAGAAGGGTTACCTCTGGATATGCAGGCTGACGTCCTGGGTGTCCACACAAGTGCCATATACTGGTTAAAGTGAAATGCTACAATTAAAGAAGTGGCTGCTGAATTCATAAAAAGATAAAATGGCAGCACGGAATGTTGTCTGCATGATGTGTATGGATATAATGTTAATAACTAATACACAAGACCTAGACTACATTAAAGAAAACACAGCATTCCACACAAATGGGCCCAGTGAGATCATGGAATGAGATTTTGACAAAATCTCTTCCATCATTGAACTTAAAGCCTAAGGTCCTGTTAGTGTAGGGTATGTGCCATGTCATTCTTTACCTGCAGGGGAGACTTAAGTGGAGGCGACTGCCAGATGGGTGTTTTCCATCAAGAATCTTGCTTGTATTACATACGTCATTGGAGGGAGTTCCCCTCCTGCAGCATACTATTCATACTTTCTTCTCTCCATAATGTTGAAAAGGTATTTGCTTCACTAAAACACTAAGATGCTTCCGTAATGGAGGTGAATATTGAATTTTATTTAGTTTTCATGGTTTTACAAATAGGGAGTATAGAGTTGGAGAATTATTATAAACAGGTAATCGATGGAGAATTAGAATGTTTTGAGAAAAGCCCTTGGTTGTTGCTTGGCAATGGGAAGGGATAGAATGAATATGACAGGTTAAATGAGACTTACTTTGGATCCTGTCAAGAATCTAGAAATATGGAGAATACCTACTTTCTTTTATTTGTGTGTGTGTGTGTGTGTGCACGCGCGCACGTGCGTGTGCGCGCGCTGTTTATTTTGCTGGAGCAGAGAAAATGGACGAAGCCAATTCTTCGTATTCCTGTGAAACTGGTAGTTTTCACAAATCTGACAAGGATCTTGGTGTTTTCTACATACATTTAAACTATTCACCTTATCTTTACTTCCTTCACTTCAGATCTAATATATGTTTGTTAGAATTTACTGTGTGGTCTCGAAGTCTTAAAAAACAGTCTTTGGTTCTTTTGTGTTTTCTAGGCAGAGGAAGAAGGTTATTTCGAAGCATTCAAAAATGAACTTGAAGCTTTCAAGTCAAGAGTCAGACTTTATTCTCAATCACCAAGTTTTCAACCTATGACAGTTCAGAATCATGTTCCCCATTCTGGTGTTGGATCTATAGGTTCGTTAGAATCCTTATCACAAGTAAGTTGGAAAAACAAATACTTTATAAACTTATTAGTTCACACAATTTTTGTTCTTTTGGACTATTCTTCTTATATGTAATGTATGTGAGGTCATTTTAAATATTTTCGCCTCAAAAGATAACTCTTTCATCTCATGCCATGTTTGGTCACTAAATAAATGTCTTCCCTCCCTTGGGGATTTAGACACCAAATTCCACTCCTTCAAATATAGAAGAGTTGTACCTAAGCATTTTTTTTCTAATGTTTATTGATATTGAGAGAGCATGTGTGCGCGAGCAGGGGAGGGGGGAAGAGAGAGAACATCCCAAGGAGGCTCCGTGCTGTCACACTAGGGCTCGATCTCATAACCTTTGAGATCATGACTCGAGCCAAAATCGAGTGTCAGACGCTTTAACCGACTGAGCCACCCAGGCCCCTTGTACCTAAGCATCCTTAAGGGCAGGTGTTACCTATTGATCATCTCAATCCTAAACTTCTCAGCGCGGCTCCTGAGTAGCCCCTCATTCTCAGTAGAACTATACTGTGAAGAATTTCTTAGGATGAGTTGGCTTCAGAGCATACATCTCAGTGGCAACCAAGGTGATTTGTTCCATGAGTTTATTTAATATTGTCTTATTAAATGTTGGCGTTGCTTAGCAGAGGTAGCATGCTTAGTATGTCAGTGCACCTTATGCTAAGCTGCTCTTTCTAGTAATATGCATCAACTGTCTGAGCCTCTGCAACAAGATCAAGATAAAGCTGTGTCGCTTATGTCAGAAGGAGAGGTTAGGCCACTGGTCCGATACTGTGGATTGCAATTTTAAGTTACCACAACAAAATTGCTGCCTGTGCTAATTGTAGTGGCATTGTAATTGAGCTCAGTCATCTCTCATTTCCAGACCCCAAGATTCTAAGAGCAACTTTAGTCAGGTTAGTCTGTTGACTACATAGTGAAAAGGGAATTCTCATTCAGAAGACAATGGGAGGAGAGCCCTGTAGTTTTAAATCTCATAAAGCAGTAGGAATTGAGATTTTCAGTACCTATACCTATGACTATAATTTCACCATTTCCGTTACATAAATTGTAGGCCAAAGTGACAATTTAAGGACAAGAGTTGATAATATTCAACTCAGCCAGAAATATTAATTCTCAAGGATAGAAATAATGAAGATCTTGATTTTTACATAATTAGTAATGTTACCTCTTAGATAGATAAGCAATATTCCCCCTTGATTTGTCCTGCAGAGTATCTCTTAATGTCTTTAAATATGGTAATGATTTCCTCTTCTTTGAGAAATAGCCCACATCTAACTAGTCTTTCCGAGGGACTTTTATGACTGTAAGACACCATCACATCCAATATATACAATATATAAATCTCCTAAAATGAAGATATCCCATAATGAATACAAAGGAAAAAAGAGACTTGGAGGGACGTCATTGATTCTGAACATAAGAGGGAAAAGATCTACGTTAAAAGAGAACTGGCCTGTATTACCAAAGAGCTGCTTCTGGTCTGAGAGAACTAAGTTCTTATTGCACATACCGGTAGCAGCTGAGGCCTGCTGCCAGGCGTTCCTTGCTGTCACATTTGCGAGGTGCGGGGCTGAGATTGTACAATTTTGACACTTTGAAATTGCTATTATCGGGGTTGTTCAGACTTAATTCCTCTGGGCTAACAGACTGTTCCTCGTGGTTGGAAAAGTTGAGCATTCTGCACCAATCCTCCTGAGGGAGGGAAGGGCTGTGTAAAATTTCAGCTGGATGCACCGAAGGACTTTTGACTGGTTGAGGGGAAGCTTTTGGAAGAAAAGCTTACCATAATGATGATATCCCATTTTTATTATCATCAGTCTGTAGATTGCAAAATACCTTCATATGTTGTTTCATTTAATCTTCTCAAAACCCTGTGATTCATTTTCATTCATTTTTATGGATGAGTGAACTGAAGCTCACGGAGGTTAGGCAGTCGGCCTCAAGTCAGTCCAGCAGTTGATGCGGCTGATCACTCCGGTCCCGGATCTCTGTCCCCTGCACTGCTCACTCACCTGCACTACAGACGGTTGTTGAATCGCACGCTAGGAACAGGACGAAATACGCAGTCATGTCCCCTTGGGAGGAACCGGTCACTGGGGCGAGAAATGTGTTGGGAATGCTACTAGATGAGAATATGGGGTAATCAGTTCAGTTTAAGTTTGGATTAGGTTAGGTGTGTTCATTGCTTTTTGTTTTTAAGTCTCTCCGTAGATTTTACAGTTCCTGGGGAGATGGATATTGAGTTCTGGAGGTCCTCTCCTGTCCAGTCTTGGTAGAGTAATTGTAAGCTCCGTTCTGAGGGCCTTTGGAATTGGGCTTGTGTTGTCAGTAAAGGTCTTAGCTCTGTTTCTTTGGAGAATGGGATAATGTAATGAGGGTTTAATAATTTTTTATAAAACTTAAATTTGAGTAACACTTTAGCTTTTCATTTTTTTTTTTTTTTCAGTTGACAACAATCTTGTCAAATAAGCCAAATCCCCTCATCCTTAGTTTTGAGAGAACTAATCAAGGCCTCTTAGAGGTGTCGTGACCGTTACCCTAGGTTTTTCCTGTAGACCAGCTTTTTAATCTACTACGGTGTGCTAAGTTTTCTCTTCCAGGATTACATTGCATTAGGTGGTGATGGCAGGATTCGAACTGAGGTCTAACATCACGTAAGTGTTCCAGACCTCACGCGGTTGTTCGTGCCATTGCCTTCATCAAGACTTGATTGGGAATAATCCACCTTCTGGCTAGCTTTTTGACTTTTACAAATAATGGAATTACACATATTTACTTTACTAAGAGGATCTTCTGAAAACCCCGCCTCCTTATGAGATGGGAAAGTTTACGGCATCTATCTTCTCTTTGGGCTGTTTTCCTCATTGGTGTTCATTAAATAAACAGATGAAACTGGGTGTAACAGTAGTAAAACACTGAGTAGCTGGCAGATATTCAGAACAACTGAATAGACAAAATTGAATTCTTAGGGAAGAATTTCCTAAAGTCCTGGGTCTTTGAGGGCTTATGTCCCTAGTCATGGTGCTTTAACAAATAATGGTTTTGTTTTTGCATTTATTAAATAAGGTTTTCTTCTTAGCTTTAGAAACGAACAGATAGAATATTTAGGAACTACAAAAATTGAAATTAAAATGTTCTTTTATTCTCAATTTTTAATACATGGATCTAAGTACCTCTCAAAAGATTAATAATTTCTCATTTGAGTTTATTTTTAATCTTTGAAAAACCAAAATACACTCTGAAGGTAACTAATTTTTACTCGGTAATTGTATTTTTTTCTTATTCAAGTGTTTTGCATTTTTAATAAATTTACCGTGGTAATTAGATAGTAATCTTTAAAACACATTGCTGACTTAAAGTCATATCTTTTTAAAATTATCAATAGCTTTGTACACATAGTTACATGAAAGATGTACCCTTCTATGACTAAATAATTTAACTTGCACCATTTTGTTAAAAGGGAAAAAAAGTTAGTGTTTATTACATTTCTGTTTTTTACGTATATCATCTGTCTTTGCCACATCCTCTTTGGATGGTCCTGTCTATTTTTTTCATCATCTTGGGTTTCAACCCAAGTTTGACCTCTGAGTCCATTTTCTTTCCCACATACATCGCAGAGAAATAGTGTGAAACTGAACATGTAGTTGTATGTGCTGGCATAAAACTGGTTATCATCCATTGTTTCTTCCCTCTATTTATGTTTTCCAGAATCCAGATTATCTTCAGTATTCTGTCAATACAGCTCTTTGCAGTTTAAACTCAGTGGTACATAAAGAAGATGATGAATCCAAAATGATGGACACTGTATGATTTGGTTAAGACTGCTGAGGCCAAGTGCTATTTTGTTACAAGAAAGGAAGAACTTGGCTATTTTCTTGACACTTTTATGGGTGCTGCACTTTATTTTTGTTCGGTTTTGATGGGAGGGGAAAAAAGAGTACTGAAACGTTTTGTAAAATTTTTTTTATGTGCTGCTAGGTTTTTTGTTTTTTTTTCTGAAGGGAGGAGAGTGATACCATATGTTGTGGGACGTCAAACTGGACTTTGGGTTTTTTTGGTTTTCTTTGGCTACTAAATTTGCCTTTAATCTTATTGTACTCAAGTTTGGAATCAAAGTAGGAAAATCTGCACAAATGCAATGTTTACAAGAACCGGTTGATTCTAGGAGGCATCTGCTACAGTCTCTTTTTATATGGGTATGTTCATGTCCTACGCTACAAAAATAATTAAAGATAAAATGTACTTGTATCCTGCTAATTTAGCTGTCAAATCTGGTGTTTCATCATATTAAAAGCAATAAATCAGTAGTGGATAATCTACTTTACTAAATAAGCTGGGTGGTAAACATGAAAACAAAGTCTTTCCCTTTAAAATAATATTACATTTGTATTTTCGACACCATCAGTTAAATCTTTGAGTATAATACCATTTTTATATAGATACTGACTTTACCCCCTATGTATTCTCAAGACTGTATTACTTAGAAGTTAATTTTATCCTGTTGACTTTTTAATATTAAGGGTTATAGTAATATAAAAAGTGATAAAGCTAACCTTTTTTTTTTTTTTTTTTTAATAAGATAACTTCAAGCTCACTCTTAATTTCTTGACATAGTTTGGGATCTCTCAGGGAGCAAGTTTTAAAAGAATACTAATGGCCTATAAGAACAAACAGGAAGAATATTCTGATTTTTAAAATCATGGTTGTTTGTTTCATTCTTTATGTAGCCCAAGGACTTTTTTAAAAGGCAGGAGAACTCTTGAAGACCTCACTGCCTCGAGCTGCCCAACTACTTCTAAGAATTTGGTGATCCTTGTCGGTAATGATGGCTTTTACCACATTTGTCCTCGCTGTCCTTAGGTCAGTTACCATAGAATGCTTCTGAGCTTTACTACTTCCTATATAATTCACTTCAGATGTGCCAGGGCGTGTGATGACTCGTTTTATTTGGAAGTAGATGACAGTGCTACTTGTGCTGTCCTTGTTATTGAGGATGAATCTTCGGACTTAGGGGAATGTGGGCTTCGGTGTGTATTGAGTGTGGTCTGTGGCTGAGTCCCACTGAGAGCAGCAGCACACACCTGGAAGACGGCTGACTGGGATTGGGAGTCCGTGTCTCAGTTTGAGAAACCGCTAATGCTAAGGGACCCGTACGGTGATCAGACCTGTGACCGTAGCCTCGTTTGCACCTTGGTTTGGCTGAGGTGATAAGGCACGTGGCACCAGTAGAAATGGACTGGAATTACTGACTCACACTTCTGGAACATCACAATCTTCCTGGTTTTCAGAATAAAACTTTGTGCTTTTGATATAAATATATACGCTATAATAAAATGTTTGACTAATTTATATGGTAATATTCATCAGCCTGTAATTTTTTTTTTTTTT